AAGCGCCACTTCTGACAAATTTCGCACACTCCCTGGACACTGGATGCATATCTGCAGAGGAGAGAAAACGATTAGGATTCCAGAAAGAAAAACCAAGAACAAGCAGGGGTCAAAAGTTAACTACCGTACACTCTTCAAAATTCCTTTAACAATGGGCAGGTAGGTGTCCTATCTTTATGTCAAGTTTGACTAGGAGATGCATCTCTTCGCCTAGAGCCAGGAGCCAAATCAGCACACTAGAGACTTTCTGTACCAGAGCTCACCCAGGACAGGCCCTCGTCTTCGAGGATCACCATTCGACAATATTTATTATGCCCTATCCAGTGACTTCTCAATCTGACAGACCCGGTTTGGCCAGGTATAAAAGCACTGCAGGTATACAAAGAAGTCATCAAGCATTACAGAAAGTACAGTCCTGCCAGGGCACGATATACGGCATTCGCGCGTGACGAGCGTGAAGTACAGTCAGAGGACTCGTCGGTAGAAGAACAATTTACAATTATTCAAAAGAGCAAGGAGATCAAATTTTAAAGGTCCACGTCAGCAAGGCGAGGTCACTGGGGGACCTACGCAGCGTGAGTACACGGGAGCGGGAGCCGGCGGGGCTACAGCGAGGGAAGCCTCAGGGACGAAATCGTCGCCACCGGCGGGCTGGGGAGAGCCGAGAGACCAGGGCGGGCGAGCGCGAAACAAGGCTGCCCAGGAACTATGCTGCAGTCCGACCTCTAACTTGTTTCTGTACCTCGGGTAGCGCCAGGGCCCTTTTCGCGCCCACAACAAGGAGCACGGCAGCTGCCCAAGGCACCAGGTTCGAAGGACTACCCGGCCCGCGAGGAGCCATTTTTCGCTCCCTTTGTCCTTCTCAGCGCCTCGCGAGATTTGCGCGTGTGGCTCCGCCCTCCGCGGGTGTGGCCCAGTCGGCCCGAAGCGGGCTGGGGGATTGCTGCGGGTTGAGGAGGTCAGAGCTCTTTTCAGTGCGTCCCAGTCCCCGTTAGAGAGGACTGGCCAACCCCCTTTCCTTTCCCCCGTTAGCAAAGGCCTCCCAGCCGCCGCTCTCTCAGCTCCGCGTTCCTCGCTTCCGGATGCCGAGGTCGCGTCACTGCAGCGACTTGCAGCTCCCGCCGCCCTCAGTAAACATGGCGGCGCCACGCGAGGCGGCCAGGGGGCGGGCCCCGCTGTCACTCAGCCGGCAGGTGGCAGGCCAGGCTTTGCCACCGCCGCCGCACTCAACCGTGGAGACCCGGCAAATGGGGCGGGCCGGCGCCAGGGGGCCAGTGCCCAAAGGCTACCGAGAGTGGCGCCGAGGCAGGGAGGGGCGGGGCGAGTCGGCCCCCCTCGTGGAGGCGCGGGAAGATCTGAGTTGCGAGCCTCGTGGTGCTAGTGGTTAAGCCACCTCACGTGTGGAGGGAAGGCGGGAAGCCAGCAAATAAAGAGGGTAAGGGTGATGGAGGAGCGAAGAGTGAAGGGCAAACCCCGGCGGGAGGAGATGAGCCTGGGGACGCCCTGGGCACCCTGGCCCCGTCACCTCAGTCAGGAGACCGCGTGGCTGTCGGAGCTTGGTGAGGAGGGAGGGGCGGGACACGAGCTTCGCTGCCTTCTTATCTCCTTTCCCTTCCCAGAAAAACGGGCTGATGCTGATCACGAGAAAAACGACTGGACTCTCTTAGCCCTGGCTGAGCCACGGAGGTAAGGGAAAGGCGAACGCTCCCCGAGGGTGGCCCTGGGGAGCCCCGCGCCCGAAGGGACTGCGTGGTGCCTTTGCTGAGGGCCAGGCAAAAGCTCATCAAAGCTAACTCCTCTAGAGTGGCCCCCCGGGCTTCCCTTGCACTTATCCACGGGCACGTGGACTCTCCTAAAAGGATTTACTTTCAGCTGGCGGCACGTTCTCTAAGGCTTTGGTAGTTATTAGCATTTTAATGAGGGTACTAAACCCTTTCAGACCTTGAGGAATTCTAGGCACAAGGACAGATTTTGAAGGAATCTTTTTAAGGCAGTGGGTCCTGCGGTGGCCCCATTTGCCTTTTGTAGGAGTCCAGGCAGTTCAGCGCAAGCAGGGGTTGGGGGGGTAGGGTGGTGTAAGTGATTCTCTTCCCTTTCTGTGTGTGTTATAGTTTTAAGAAGGGGTCTCACAGTCCACTATTTGTGCCTTGTGTGTTTCAGTTTTAGTGACACAACTCAGCTCTTACTTTTGGCTCCCACTGTCTCAGATGCGAGTCCATGGGCTTTACAATGGTGTAGAGTTTTTGGAAAGCCACTAACTCTCCTGTTCCTAGAATCAGAATCCTGTCTAAGGAACACTTCACTGGGTCAGGTTTTACCTGTCTTGCCTGCCTCTCTTCAGCCTTCTGGGAAGGGTCTCTGCACCTTGTGCTAATAGAATTCTGTCAAGAAGCTCCACCAATTTACCCCAGAAGTAGAGGGTCACCAGTTCTGTAAGTCTGTGTTCTAGTCTATACCGAGACTTTTTTCCTTTCTGTAACTGCTCTATCTTTGTCACTAACCCTACATGGTTTTTTTTTTTTTTTTTTTAATGTTTACTTATTTGAGAGAGAGAGAAGAAAGCAAGCAGGACAGAGAGAGAGGGAGACAGAGGCTACACATTCTTATTTGCATACAGCAGACACCCTCTCTTACTCCTAGTATTTTTCATCACCTCTGTCATAGTCAAATTTGCCAAAGAGGAGCCGCAGGGAATCTTTAGGTTAAACCAGAGGGATCTGGTGGGAACGCTTTTTTGGGAACTAACATTTGAGACTCGTAGAACATGTGATCCAAGAGTTGCCGGCTCTGATTTCCTATCTTTGTTGGGTCCACGAGGTTCAGAGTTCAGGTTTGGTCTGTGTAAGGCCGTATCTTGCCAGCTAGGCAACATCTGCCCAAGAACACAGTGTGGGAGAACCATAAGACAGCCAGGCTGATCTTTCTTCTAGTGGGCAAGCACAGAAGACATAGGTTATATTAATGTGTGTCTAGACTAGTTTAAATCTAAACTTTGTTCTGCGAATGACTGACTGCAATTAATGTTCTGCTCCTACCCTGGTTCTAGGAATAGTAAGGATGTCCCCCTCCCCCCAGGTGAATCACCTGTCATACCTGCAGTTAGTGCTCTTTCGTTCTCCTTTGTTTTGTATTGTGCCCTGTAACCTTAGGCAAGTTATTTAACTTGTCTAACTCTGCTTCCTTGAGAAGCAGAGAATGTTTGTGTAAAGTGCATAAACTGAGGCATGGTGTTTTAAAAGTGATAGTAATGGTTACTTTTTCCTTATTTATCATTATTGGAGTTTTTGAAGTTCACGGCATACCGCTGGGTTACAAAAAGTGAGATGCTTCACTAAGAAAATGTAAAAAAGAGATACTGAAAACAACATTACCTGTCATCATTTAGGCTATCTAAAAATCTGACATGCTGTGGTATTTTCTCCATATCAGTGAGAATCTCACAGATATTCTTTGAAGACATTATGGTATAAATGAAGAGTGGCTGGATGGGAATCACCAGACTTGAGCTCTGATCTGGACTGACAATAATTAGCTCTGTGGTTTTTGGAAAGATCACTTGAATCACTGAGCCTCGGTGTCTTTGTTGGTAACGAGGGGTCGTAATAGTGATCTTTTAATATTCCTTTAAGTTTTGAAGTGTATAATCTTGTCCTTGTTGTGAGGATAATGCTATATTCTTGAGGATTAGTATTTTTTGTGCAGGAGTCAGAAAAGCAACTTTCCCATTTCTCTCAGCTCCTCCTTTGTAATTCCCTTTAGCACACAGTGCCAAGTGTGACTTACAGTGAAAGCCTAATCCAGCTAGGAATGCTGTTGAATGTGAGCTCCCTGTTCCCCATTCTGGAATCTCTAGGACTGAGCTAGAGTTTGGGGGCCATAGGGTGATAGGGCCATTTGGATCACATTGGTTCCTTAAAGCGGCCAGAACAAATAACTGCTGAACTTCACTTCACCCCTAATTCCTGATTTCACCTCCACCACTTACAGAGCCAGACTCTCAGCTTCTGCCCAGCTCTAGACACACACAGCTTCTCCAGGCAGTGCTGCCTCTGAACAGGGATTACTTCTCTAGGTAGGTGTCTACCTCAGGAGGATAGGAGCACTCTCCCCAGCTGCCCTTGCCCCAGCTCCCTGGCTGATCTGCTTTTCTATAATCATAAGTTGAACTCCTGGCTCCAGCATGTTACCCTCTCACTTTTGAATTCTATCACTCTTCCCAGATCTGCTATTGACTGTTGTGTTGCAGGGAGGAGCTGGGAGGTGGGTGGCAGGAGAGAGCAAAGTGGTTGGCCTGGGGATGCCTGGAATGGAGTTTGGGCTTCCATGAAGGTAATCTAACTAGGGATCAGGGCTAAGAAGGCGTCCTGTTAGGAAGCTGACACTAGGAATATGGGAGGTGGGGGCTGAAGCTAGGGGAAATAGAGGAAGCCATGCTGTTATTGGTCTCCCATTTCTTCTTCCCTGCTGGGCTGTGGCGCCAGGTTGGGGTCTGCTGGCTTAGTACATTGTAGTGACTGGGTCTGTGCCTGCAGGTGGGGGCAGGGAAATTTTTTGAGAAGAAATGTGGGCTCGAGTTGATTTTTCTTTTGTTACTGGGGTGGAGACCTAAGAAAGTTTTTATATTTCTCAGCTGTGTCTGCCCAAAACAGTCTTAGCCAAATAGTTGTCTCCTGGCTGTCTCACTCTGTTGCTTCTTTCCTCCCCTACCAAAACCATACCAGGACCTCCAGATCTCCAAGGGCTGTACAGAACTGGCTGGTCCAAGTTTGATGGTTGTTGGATACACAGGCCTGAGGGCAGATGTGCATGAAGGCAAGATAGGCCTGACTAGGAGCTGATTCCTTTGCAACTCACCTTGGACAATGTCACTTGGTGGAGGAGAAGGACTGTGAGATCGTGGCCGGAAGCCAGGTTGTAGCCACTTGCCTGCCGTTGCCCAGCTGAGTGGCAGCCCAGAGCCCAGGAGCAGCAAGTGACTGTAGGTCACAGACACAGTGAAGATGAGTGTGGGGGTTAGCACCTCTACTCCCCTGCTTCCAGCCTCAGACACAGACGTGGTCACATCTGCCTTCTCCCTTGTGGACTATGTGGTGTTTGCCCTGCTGCTGGTTCTTTCCCTTGCCATTGGGCTCTACCATGCCTTTCGTGGCTGGGGCCGGCATACTGTTGGCCAGCTGCTCATGGCAGACCGCAAAATGGGCTGTCTTCCTGTGGCTCTGTCGCTGCTGGCCACCTTCCAGTCAGCTGTGGCCATTCTCGGTGTGCCGTCCGAGATCTACCGATTTGGGACCCAGTATTGGTTCCTGGGCTGCTGCTATTTCCTGGGGCTGGTGATCCCTGCACACGTCTTCATCCCTGTCTTCTACCGCCTGCATCTCACCAGTGCCTATGAGGTGAGCAGAGAGGAAGGGAGGAGCACATAGGACCACCAGGGTCAGAGGCGGAAAGGAGGAAGAGGGCACATACAAGGGATCTGGGCCCCTGCACCTTTTCTGCCTAATTAGAGCGATGGGACACATCATGTGTTTCCAAGTTCTGGGTGAAGTCAGGTGGGAGTGGGGAGAGAAGGAAGGTACTGTGAATGGAGGCCCAGAGTGGATAGGAGTTGAATATTCCCTCATGTTCCTGGACTTCTTGAGGGATGCTGTGTGTGAATTGTGGGGGTAGAGTGGGGAGGAATGCCTTTAAATATATGAAGATGTCTACGATTATATATCTATATCTGCATATTTCTATCTAGTATCTGGAGCTCCGCTTCAATAAGGCTGTGCGGATTTGTGGGACCGTGACCTTCATCTTTCAGATGGTAAGTGGAAATGAAGGTAGAATTTGAGCCTGGGATATGGTAGGGGGACCCAAACTCAGGCATTCTGAAGCACTCTGAGCTTCCTCTGCTCTCAGGCAGGATTAAAGGTCCTGCAAGGTGTCAGTGTCCCTGAAGCCACCAGAGGCATCCTGTTTCCTATTCCTTCTGGCTCCAGCATAGTCAGTATGGTGGCAGCAAGCTAAAATTTGGAAGAAGGGAAAGGAAAGTGAGCCTAGATGAAGGGAGGCCATTAGGAGCTGAGGTCCATCTTTTCTCCTTTCCGTACCCACCCTCATTTCCCCTCCCCCTCACATTCTCTTTTCCATACCTGACAGGTGATCTACATGGGGGTTGTGCTCTATGCACCATCGTTGGCCCTCAATGCAGGTGAGGAGTCACAGCCCCTGGCTGTCAGCCACAGCAGGCTGGGAAAACACCTTTGGGAGGGGCAGGTAGAGGAGAGTGTGCAGAAAAGAATCTGACCTTGGCCGGGGAGTTATTTCACTGCATGGGCCCTTGGCTTGTCTCTGCCGGAGGTGGAAGCACCTTGGTTCGCCTCACTTGAAAGCTAATCAGACATTACCATGTCTCGTCTGAATTGGTTAATCAGTACCTTTTGGTGGGGTTTGAACATTTTTTTCGATTATAGTGAATGATTTATTACATCTTTGATGACTGCACGTTTCATGTCTTACTGGGTTTTTTTCTAGTCTCTGGGAAACCCTCTTCTAGAGACAGAATTGTGGTTTTTACTTGTTTGCAGTGACTGGCTTTGATCTGTGGCTGTCAGTGCTGACCCTAGGCATTGTCTGTACTATCTACACTGCTTTGGTGAGTGTGGTGAATCTTAAAAGAGAAAGGGGAAGAGGTCAAGTAAGGAGGGAAGATGGGAAGAAAAAGAAGGGATGAGGTAAAAATGTAGGTGGGAAGATGGGATGGAGTTTTAGAGTGGGATGAAATAATACGTAGGAGATGCGATAGGACTTTGGTGGGAAGTGGGACGAAGGAGAGGGGACGGCATACTGAAGGTAGGGGATGGGGTGGGAATTAGGCCCCTGGTGGTATAGTGCCCTTGCTGGTGGTCGGGTGTCTTAATTTGTGGATGGTTTTAAAGACATCTGTGTCAGGTATGCTTTCTTTTCCCTGCAGGGTGGTCTGAAGGCAGTCATCTGGACAGATGTGTTCCAGACGCTGGTCATGTTCCTAGGGCAGCTGGTGGTTATCATTGTGGGATCAACCAGGGTGGGCGGCTTGGGGAATGCGTGGGAAGTGGCTTCCCAGCATGGCCGCATCTCTGGGATTGAGTAAGTGTACCCCTTCCCCTGGCTGGGGTCTGTAGTGCCTCTGAGCCGAGCCCATCCTAGAACCTGAACTCAGGGCTGCAGTAAGCAGAGGACAAGCTGTGTAAGCCTTAGGTGGCATCACTGAGATGGGTGGGAAGCTGGCACTGCAGAGATTGAGGGTGATCACAGGAATCTGGCTGGAGGGTAAGGAGGGGCAGGATGTTTTTGGTACTTGGAATGAGGCTGTGGGTTGGAGGGATAGAACCCTTCCTCCATCTTGCTGCACCGTCTCTCGTGTCCACCCAGTTCTTGCCTTCGGTAGCTCCTTGGCCCTTGCAGCAGCGTCTGTGCTCTGCTTTCCTCTGACCCTCATTGTAGGAGTGCGAGGAAGGCTGAGACTGTTGGGGGCTATGCCACAGTGACCATTTGGCATCTGTTGCAGGCTGAATCCAGATCCTTTTGTACGGCACACTTTCTGGACGTTGGCTTTTGGGGGTGTCTTCATGATGCTCTCCTTGTATGGGGTGAACCAGGCTCAGGTGCAGCGCTACCTCAGTTCCCGCACGGAGAAGGCTGCTATACTGTGAGTGCAGGGACAGGAAGACCAGGGAGCAGGGGCTAGAGAAGATGGTGGGACCCTGTTCTACAGGGCAGTTGGGTGGGGGCATGATGCCAGAGCGCAAACATACCCATTGGGGTCAGGATACAGGTTTGCCTTTTGGAACTTGGGGACATGCCTGAAGATGTCTATTAACAGTCTCTGTTTCCTTGGCACTGGTGTCTTACAGCTCCTGCTATGCAGTCTTCCCTTGCCAGCAGGTGGTCCTCTGCATGAGCTGTCTCATTGGCCTGGTCATGTTTGCCTATTACCAGAAGTATCCCATGAGCACCCAGCAGGCTCAAGCAGCCCCTGACCAGGTGAGAAGGCCTCCCTGGCACTCTTCTGTGCCCATGAGGGCCAACCTAGGCCCCATGAGGAGTGTCTGGTTGGCTGCAGAAAGGACTCCCACCCTGGGTAGGAAATGGATGTAAGTGGCTTTTCACTGTGGGATTCTACAATCTGGCACATGAGGGTCCCAGTTCCCAGTATCACCTAATCACAGTGCTCACCCTGCTGGGGTGGGGACCTACCTTTATTGGCTCACCACTATGTACCGTGTGATGCGCTTTGCTAGGAACTGTCACATACCCGGTCTCGTCTAATCCCCACAACAGCCTCATTTTATAGAATGGAAAAAAGTCATCAGGGTGGCCCACATGCTCGTCACACTGCTAATTGGGCATGGCTGGGGTGCAAACTGTGTTCTGTCTCCAGAGCCCGTTTTTTTCTACTTCCTGTGGGTCACCTTCAGTGCTTAGCGCCCTTCTTAATCACTGGGTTTCCGTAGGCTGGCAGGGGCACATGTAGGGGGCTTCTCACATGTCTTGCCCTGGGGAAGGGCTCCTCTCTCAAGAGAGCTGTGCACTTCTGCTCTGCCTGCAGTTCGTCCTGTATTTTGTGATGGATCTCCTGAAAGGCCTGCCGGGCCTGCCTGGGCTCTTTGTTGCCTGCCTCTTCAGTGGTTCCCTCAGGTACCTTCTTTGACCATTTTCCTCAGGCTTGGTGCAGCTGATCCCTGCTTGACACAAGGTGACAGGTGGAGGAGGGGATCTCTCTGAGTTTCTCAATGTGCCCTTTTATCTGTGGATGATGAGGGACAGCTTATCTGTGTAGGAGAGAGCATATCATCTTCCAGGAGATGCCCCCCCTTTTGGTGAAGGATTCTTCTTTTTACGACACCAGGAATTGATTCTACTTGATCAAAACCTGTACCCCAGTCAGAAAAGGACAGGTGTCCTTGCCTTCCAGGCCTCTTCCTCGGCTGCCAACTGTGAGGATGGCTTCTGGCTGCATATGTTTTCTCCTGCCTTTAGAGTGCTACTCCCTTAGTAGGGCCCCTGGTGGTTTTGCCTCTCAGCTCCCAGAGTCAGCACAGCTCATCTTTTTCTTCCTTCTTTCAGCACCATATCCTCTGCTTTTAATTCATTGGCAACTGTTACGATGGAAGATCTGATCCGACCCTGGTTCCCTCAGTTCTCTGAAGTCCAGGCCATCATGCTTTCCAGAATCCTCGGTGGGATTATGCTTCCTCATCTTTTCAGTTGTATTCTTTCTAAGACACACCTGAAGCACTGTCATCAATCAGTCTGCTTGACGGCACCGGCTTTAGCCTTGGCTTGGCGCTTGCCACATGAAGCACACAACCTTGTTTATTATCTCAGGGCATTTCCTGGGAAGGTCTCTGAGTCCCATAAGCGTGAGGACCGGGTGGGAGGGACCTGGAACTGGGGCAGGAGGTAATATGCCCTGTTTCCAGGGACACAGAGGTAGCGGTTTGGGGAAGGAGCTTTCCTCTGCTTTTTCTTCTTTTAGTTCTATTTACTTACCTCTGCATGTTTTCTCCCTTTTTTTCCCCCAGCGTTTGGCTATGGGCTACTTTGTCTGGGAATGGCCTATATTTCTTCTCAGATGGGACCTGTGCTGCAGGTAAGGACTATGCAGAAAAGAAAGCAATTGTCAAGGGAGATAAGGAGGTGATTGAGATGGGAAGTTGAGGAATACCACTGATGTGAAGGGAATGGTATAGGGATGGGTGTCAAAAATTCATCTTTGATGGACCACCTTTGGCTGTGAGTAGCCTTCTCCAGAGTCATTCCCAGGTCCTTGTTGGCTCAGACATCTGGGGATTATTTTAGCCTCAGAGGAAAACCCACAGCACATTTCCTTACCCATATGCCTTCTGGAATCCTGCATTCTAACATTTTCACGTAGAAGACACAGATCTGACAAGGGGGGCGCTGAGCCATTGGCAGGTGGCTGTACTCTACATTGGTGAGGCTGGGGGGTCTCTGAGCCTGAATAGTCTCTGTTATTTTTTTCTTCAACCCTATCCTCCACAGGCAGCACTCAGCATCTTTGGCATGGTTGGGGGGCCGCTGCTCGGACTCTTCTGTCTTGGGATGTTCTTTCCTTGTGCCAACCCTCCTGTGAGTGACCGTCTGGCTCCACAGTCGTTTACAGGGGTGGGCCTGGGGAATGGCTTGGCAAGGCTCTCCCCGTGAGTTCTGGGAACTGGTGTGAAGGTTTATTAGGGCTGGCATCATAACTGGAGAATGTGCTGTGTCTCTGGGCAGGGTGCCATTGTGGGCCTATTGGCTGGACTTGTCATGGCCTTCTGGATTGGCATTGGGAGCATAGTGACCAAGATGGCCTTTGGCGTGGCACCTTCTCCCTCTAATATATCCAGCTTTTCCCTGCCTAGTAACCTGACCACCGTTGCCATGACCACACTGATGCCCTCAACCACTCACTCCAGGTGAGTTGGGGTTCACTCACTTTCTACTTGGGGAGAATAGCTCATTTTTTAGGGGTTTCCCAGGGGCCTTGCTAAGGGATGGACCACCAGAGTCCTCAGGGCAATGTTGAGAGTTGGGTCCCAAGACCCTAGGACAGTATAGGTGGGTGGAACCAGGTCCCTGAGGAATGCCCTGTCAGTAAATTGCTAACTATCCTTATTCCTGTTCTCCCCAGGCCTACAGGACTGCAACGGTTCTACTCCTTGTCATATTTATGGTACAGCGCTCACAACTCCACCACAGTCATTGTGGTGGGCCTGATTGTCAGTTGGCTCACTGGTGAGGGCATGTGGGATGGGGGCACAGAGAAGCAAGACAGGCTGAGGGAGGCTAATCAGGGAATCTGGACTCTGGGGTAGAACGGACCCTGCCCTCTGGGCTCCTGGGTGTCTAACAGTCAGACTTCTTGGCTGAGCTCTGGGAGGTTGGCAGGGGCTGAGAACTCAGAGCCCCAAGAACAGATGGCTTGTTGGGTGTGCACTGGTTACTGAGTAGGAGACTCAGAAGTGCCTTTGCCTTTGCCTTCAGGGGGAATGCGGGGCCGGACCCTGAACCCTCGGACCATTTCCCCAGTGTTTTCAAGACTTGTTGATCTCCTGCCCCTGTCTTGTCAGAAGCGATTTCACTGCAAAAGCTACAGCCAGGTAGCAGTTATGTTGCCCAGATTATACCCTCCCTTACCTCTCCAGATTATTACCAGACCTTCTAGGTTTCCTTCCATCCCTTTCCTTTCTCCCCAGCAAACCTGATTGTTTGCCTGAACCTGGACCGTCCCCCAGCAACCCCCCGGCTTCTACCCATGGGGGAGTGCTGGCTTGGTGGACAGAAGGGTCTCAGCCCAGAGAGGTGCCCAACATGCTGGCCTTTCCTTTCTCCTGCCTCCCTGCTCACCGTGTGCTTTGCTTCTCCCTTTCTCTCCCGCTGCCCCTTGCTGATCTCCCTTCCAGCAAGGATCAAAGCAGTGTCTCATTCCCTTTGGTCTGTGTGTTCTCCAGGATCTCTCGGTGGATACCCCTGCGTTTCCAGAAAAGATGAGTAATGGGATGTTGAAGAATAGCAGAGACAAGGAGGCCATGGCCGTGCCTGAGGAAGGTTCAGCCCACCAGGGGAGCAGCCCCACCTTCATCCTGCAGGAGACCTCACTGTGATCCGAGCTCGCGTCCCAGTCCCGGAGGCAGCCTGTAGTAAAGTGATGAGTTATGTGATGCATAATGCAGAGACAATCAAGGACTAGATTACCTAGCCCACCAAAGGACCTTGTTCTTAGATGTTTGGGCTGCAGTAGAAGCCATCATAACATGGGAAGTGTGAGGGCAGGACAGGGTTTTTACTTGTCCCTTGACAGTCTGTTCTCTAGAAGACCGGGCTTGCAGTGGACAGGATTTTGCTAGCAAAGGGTATAGAAGCAAATCCTCTGGGGAGTGGGTAATGGCTTCTGATTAATCATCATCAGGATCCTTTGAAGTGAATAGAAACTGCAGTGCTGGTTATCACTGTTCTGGGGCCTGATTTGACAAGGTTGGCCATGTTTACAATTAAATACAAAGCTGCCTTGGCCAGCTGTCACTTCTCTTGCAGTCCTATTTTGAGCATAGTTTCTGTCAGCCACAGAGAGCCCGTGACTACTTTCAGGTTGTCCGTGACACCGAGGCTCCTCTCATTCTTACCTGTCTACCTCCATTCTTGAGGCAGAGGGTTAGTTGTCCCCAAGAGTCCTCTCAGAACAGACCGGTACGGGGTGCCTCGGTGGCTCAGTCAGTTGAGCGTCTTGGCTTTGGCTCAGGTCATGATCTCACGGTTCATGAGTTTGAGCCCCACATGGGCTCACTGCTGTCAACGTGGATTGTGCTTTGGATCCTCTGTCTCTCCCCTGCTCATGCTTTCAATTTCTCTCTCAAAAAAAACAAACAAAAAACATTTAAAAAAAGATTTAAAAAAACCCAAAAAGGATCGGTACATTCATCTCCTTTGCATAAAGTTGGGAAGCTTTCTACCTTGCTGCCCGCACCCTCCACCTATGTAATGGGCACTTGGGGACGGGACAGATGTAGATCCAAGAAACCAGGGCCTGACCAGGTCCACTGTGGAGTGTGCCACCCACCTGTCACACCACCCTAGTGTCATTTTGTTGTTTGTACTCGTTTCCTTTTGGAGTTTCTTTCCCACATATCTTTGTTCCTAGGAAATAAAAGCTTAATGGGCCTAGAATCGGGGTTCCTGTACTATTTGTTCACAGCTGCTCTGGTTCACCCCAGGCCCGTCCATGGCAGTGATAGAGCCCCTTCTACCCCTGCACAGACTGGCTGTCATGTCTTCAGGGAGCAGCATTGTGCTTATCTGGGTGGAAGATGCACACTCCCTCTGCTGCTGTTCGTTCCCTGCAGCTCAGTCCGTCTCCTGTCCCACCCATCTTGTCCTTGACTGGTACAATCACCGCTGCTCAAATTTTCACTTTGGAGGCTGTTGGGAGAATGCTGCTACTTGCTGGGTGGTGTTAAGCCTGCTTGAGGTTGTCTCTCCTCTCTGCCCCTCACCTGCTTGTGCTCTTTCTCTCAAAATAAATAAACTTAAAAAAATAATAATAAAAATAGAACATTGGAGCTGGACTCTTGTGAAGAGCACAGCTCAAGCCCATGTACCCTAGGCCCTCGGTTGGCCTGGCCTTGTCCAACTGCACAGAAGTAACTCTGCATAAGCTCTCCGGGCCCCTCAGGCAGATCTGTGGACAGTTTCAGGAAATGCCAAGTTGACTGCCCTGAGGTCTGCCTTCTTGATAGCCCCTCTACCTGGGGGCAAAGGGGGTGCTGCTCCTGGCTGACTACCCCCACGCACCAAGCTATCAGAGTTCTAGATCTAACCAGGCTGTGCTTTGTTCATTTTCAACATGTTTATCCATCACCTACATGCAAGGGCGTTAAAGTTGACCGCCATTTTGCATCCAAGAAAATGACTATGCCACCTCAGGACCCTGTACCAGGTGCCACCATTATTTCAAAGTTGCCTCAGTCCAAGACCCTTGCATGTTAGCAGAGAAAAGAGGAAAAACCACAGGATTCAAAGGTTTCAAGGATTATGACATTTAAGGGGAGAGGGTAAAAACATTTGGTACTCCGTATAAATAATTCAAAGTCCGTAACAGAACAAAGATGCTCTGCTTTTAACAAAGTAAACTTATTTGCACATTTTTAAAGTACCACTTAGGGGGCCTCTAGCTGGCTCAGAAGACCACGCAACTCTTGGTCTTAGAGTTGTGAGTTCTACCCCTACATTGAGAGTAGAGATGACTTAAAATTGAATCTTTAAAAATACCACTGGTGATGGTGGAGTCGAGTATACAGATCTAGGTTCAAATGCTGGTTCATCCACTTAACCTCCTTAAGCTTTAGTTTTTTCATCTATTAAATGTGAATTTCACAGAGCTGGTTAACGATTTAGTTACAGGGGCGCCTGGCTGGCTCAGTTGATGGAGTGTGCAGTTCTTGATCTTGGGGCTGTGGGTTTGAGACCCACGTTGGGTGTAGATTACTTAAATAAACAAAAAAATATTTAGTTACATTGCACGTAAAGGACTTATTCATTCCTTTGATGTCAGTGTGATCGTGTTTATTGTAGTTTTCAAGGCACTTTTCATGTACCACCCCATATTATGCCTTGGGAGAGAAGTGCATTGTGTAACATCTGCATTTTTAATATATAAGGTAACATAACACGGCTAGTGAGAGGTTGAGGGGCAGAACTAGAACCCAGGTTGTAGGACTAGAATCAAAGCTGTATCTCTGTTGCCATGGAAGAATGTCAGTTTGGATGGGGTGTCCACAGGTGACAGGGAATCTTGAGATAGTCCAGACAACTGTAACACACTAAATGGGGGGTGCTACTATGCCATCATTCCAGAACCTTTGTAGGTCAGTGGCTTTCAAACCTTTGACAGACCCACAGTAGGACTATGTTCACGTTATGATCCAGTCCACTCATATATTGCATTATGTTACTAAGACCTTTCATGAAAAAATACCTCTGGGTATAGTTATCTGAGCTCTTCCTCTTCCCTTCTCTTCCTGCATAATTCAGTCCTAAAGCCATTAGGTGGAGCAGTGCAAAGTAGCATCGGTGCTGGAGGATGTCTGGTGTGCATGTCAGAGCTCAAGTGAAATGGAGACCATGGATGGGAGTAGCCCAGCTTAGACATCATAGTCTAAGCAGGATGAGGAGGGCAACCACATGGAGGCACAGTCTGCCGTGTGGTGTTACAGCCCAAGTTGGGACGAGGAAAGTGTCCATGTGGTTTGGTAGCCTGGTGAGGGGTTGGAGCATGAAAAAGACATACCCCAGACACCCCCACAAAAGAAGACTTGGTGTGGGCTGTCTGCTGGAGTGGAACGGGAGGAGGGGGTCTGTGCATAGGGGCAGCTTGAGGTGGGGCGTCAGTCTGAGCAGCATGAGGAGGGCATCCTCAAGGAGGGTGGCTTGATGTGGGTTATCAGAGCCAGCCTGTACGTGTGTCTGCATGTGTCCCGCATGGGGAAGCAGAACTCAAACAGAATGAAGAGGGTATCTGCCTACGTGAGCAGCCCAGCCTGAGCTGTTAGAACCCGAGTGAAGTGAGGACATCTGTGTAGGAGGAAGACCTGTGGTCAGATGGGAGCCCAAGAAGGGTGAGGTAGCCTGGGGCGTGGTGTCAGCCTAAGCAGGGTGATGAAGACATCCACAGAGGGGCCAGCCAAGTGCAAGGAGAGTTGGATTAGACCCAAACAAAGCAGTGAAAAAAAATCTCTGGAAAATCTTGTATCCGCTCTCGTTAGATTTGCAGTCCAATTTCACATTGCTCAACGAGGCAAAATTTGGGACTTTGAAAAGAATAATAAAACCAATTGGCAAAAATTATCAAGAGAAAAGAGAAGACACAAATAATTCCAGAAACAAAAAGGGTACATAATGACAGATATTGTAGACATTAACATGGTAATCAGATTATGAACAACTTTAGGCCAACAAGTATGAAACTTTAGATGAAAATGGACAAATTATTAGAAAAATATCACTAAAACGGACTCAGGAAGCAATAGGATATGCGAATAGCCCTATTTCCAGTAAAAAGAAACAATATTAAATAAAACCTCTAATCGTGAGGAAAATCCCGGGCCCACATGGCTTCACTGCTGAGTTCTAATCTTTCAAGGGATGACTAATTCTAAATTTACATAAACGATTCCAGAGTATAGATGAAGAGGGAACTTTCCTGAATGCATTTTCTCTTTTCCAGCAATAAACATTTAAAGTTCTTAAAAAGGTTTTTTAAGGGGCGCCTGGGTGGCGCAGTCGGTTAAGCGTCCGGCTTCAGCCAGGTCACGATCTCGTGGTCCGTGAGTTCGAGCCCCACGTCAGGCTCTGGGCTGATGGCTCGGAGCCTGGAGCCTGTTTCCGATTCTGTGTCTCCCTCTCTCTCTGCCCCTCCCCTGTTCATGCACTGTCTCTCTCTGTCCCAAAAATAAATAAACGTTGAAAAAAAAAAAAAAGGTTTTTTAATATTTTAATATTTAATTTTGAGAGAGAGGGAGAGGAGAGCATAAGTGGGGGAGGAACAGAGAGAGAGGGAGAGAATCTCAAGAAGGCTCCCCACTGTCAGTGCAGACCCCCATGGAGGGCTCAATAAGCAGGGCTGATCGTGAGATCATGACCTGAGCCGAAATCAAGAGTTGGATGCTTAACCGAGGCACCAAGTTGGTGCCACCAAGGCACACGCAGCAACAAACATTTAAAGCATGAAATTTTAAGTATCTTTTATCATAGCATCAATCCAATATCAAAACCAGACAGAGACAGCATAAGCAGAAAGGAAAAGTATAAAGGTCAATATTATCATGAACATAGCTGCAAAATCATGAAATATTAGTGAACTGAATTCAGCAATGTATATAAAAAAGATAATATATCATCATCATTGCGTTTATCTCGGAAATAGGAGGTAGCTTTAACAATAGAAACTCAAATAATATGATCCTCCATGTTAACAGATGAAAGTAAAAATCTCATTATCATCTCAACAGATGCAGAAACCGGTTTCATGAAGTTCAACATTCATTTAGGAGAAAAGCTAGCACTAAGAAGGACTTCCCTAACCTGATTAAGTGTATCTATGAAAACAATC